GCACTGTCTTGAATTTCAAAATATTTTTAGACCGCTGTGGATCTTTGGAGCGTGATATGCCGGTTAGTAATTACGTGAGCACAGTGTGTTAGGGCGTAGATGCAAGTTATTAGCGGACAGACAAACATACTCGTTAAGCCATAATACGAGAGTTATTAGAAATAAGGATTTAAGTATTGGGGATGTACCTCATTTATTTCTTGCATTGAAAGAACAAGATGGTCGTCAGAGCTGTGGTAGTGCTCGCTTGCTGCTGCTTATTCAGAATGTTCTTCAGAAAGTAATGTGAACAAGAACGATGATTATTTTATTCTACAGAAACAATCTGATATTGGCGATTCCTTTCTAGTCAAGGGATAAATGAAGCAGAATGATGGTCGTTACTTGTTTTTATTGTATAAACAAGAATTAGCGCAGTCCAAATATTAGACAACGTAAAAGTTAAAGTTATACAGAGTCTCCCAAAGATGGACTCCTGTGGACTCCCGGAGTCCGCTTTTCCCCCCTTGAGATCCTCTCCAGAAAACCGTTCCAGGAACAACCATAATATTAACTCAGCTATCGTCTAATCAGAATTACATTAGATCCTTTTAAGCTCTCTACAGTGTTAAAAAAACACTGTGATTTTTGGGTGAAGTTGGTGCAACTTTGACTCCAACGTTCTTCTAGATACTTATCGTTTTGATGGATACGTATAACTTTCTACGCTGTTATGTGCTAGTGATATAAGAGTACGTCATAGTTTTCGACAAGGGTGAATAGTGCGACGGAAGAATGTAAAAGCTTTCAAATTTCAAGCTTGTTGCTGAGCTTAGTTGTATACAGACTAACTTGTGTATGGACAAATAGAGGCTTTCCTAAGATTAGAGACTACAGGGTAGTTCGGTGAGAGAGTGAGAGTGCATACCATAATTAATCTCAAAGAAGCATCAAACTATTTGGTATCCCCATTGTGATATGAGGTTTTAAGAAATTTGACATTATACATTTTGATGCCTTGTATTATATCGATTTCCATCAAGGTGTATCTGCTATAGTTTTTTCGAATTTCTAGCAGTACTGATTTCGTTTTCAGAAAAGAAAAGGCATTACTTGATGTTGTACTTGTTGTACTGGTAGTCGACGTTGACGCTGTACCTTAAATAAAAGTTGTAGTCATTTTATCGAATTTGCTTATAATTATCGCGTTATGTGAAACACCTACTTGTAGTTGATGTTGTACTCGTAGTGCTGGTAGCTAAAATGAATAACAAATACGTAGATCTTGCAGTATTAAATCACATGAGCCAGGCTGTATCTGACAATTCATCTCTTTTCCAGCGTTATAGCTATCGCATTTAGGATTTGACTTCGTAGGAAAAATTCGACTAATCAAAACGGAAATCAATATAGTTCACTTGCATCATGCACTTTACACTACTTACATAGAAGATGCAGCTAGTGTAAACTTTCTTTCTATGTTATCGTACTTTTACAATTATTTGGAAGGACATTTAAGTCGAAGTTTGACTGATGTGTCATCATCATCCTTCGACTGCGAACAAACGAGATTTGCAGGCGATAAGAATTTTGGACCAATTCCTCCTGTTGGCAGCAGCCTTCCTAATCTGCTCGATCGTAGGAGGCGTGTCGTTACTGATCACCTTTGCGATGTAATCGGGATATTTTAGGTATGGGCGACCTTGCCTGCGTTTGCCGTGGCTGAGTTTTGGTGTGTAGAGAGTGTACTTATGGGTAAAGTCACCTGCTTTTCTGCGGAAGCAATGTCCGATGAAGCGCAGTTATCGTCGTTGCACTGCTTACACTAAAGGTTCTTGTCCGGTCTTTTCGTAGATGTAAGTTTGTTGAGACATAAAACCCAACTGTTTTATTTTTCCAGCAAGATTTTCTAACAGATTGAGAATTTTCTACAAAATGGTATTTTTCTTATTCCATTGTTATCCAGTCTGAATAATTCACATACATGAAACTTCTCGCAGGGTCAAACTTCAGGCATTTATCGAAGATTTTTATTCAAATCAGTTGAATCTTAATGTACACTCACTGTGGATTATTTATTAAAACTTTAATAATTCTTATCTGTATCCTTATTTAAAGTATTTTAAATTAAGAAATGTAGATTATTTGAGCCTAACAGAATCAAATGAATTTTTCTTACCACATTTATGAGATACTGTACAAGTTAAGTTAATATCCTGTCTACACCAATTGTCTTCCTGACATATTGATTCATCATAGAGCTGATTAAGACACATTGTGCCATTCCAAAATGTGTGTACTGGACACAAACATGTTTGATTCGAGCATAACAAGTAGCGGCTTCCCAAACATTGCCCGCAACTTTGACTGTAAACAGTAAATATATTTTCACTGTACCTAATCGCACCTACTCGACTTGTGAATGAGGCCGAATTATTTATCTTGCCCGTAGATATTTCACCTATGAAAAGTTACAAGTATTAGATCAGTGTTTGACATTAATAGAGCCATTAAACGTCTCATGTTACACGCACACTTTTCTTTTCTTACATATGTTGCGTACTTGACAGGGGTGTTTCCTATATATGCCCGGTGATTTCATTTGAAAGATACCCCACTTACCCTCAAATAATCGACATTGAAACGATTTTGTATCATAATCAAATGTTCTACATCGGGGTTCATTATAGCATATACGTGTACAGTGAATCTCTGATAATACGCTTTCAATGTTGACTAATTCGATTAGGTTAGCAGGAATAAATGATGTGCCGAATAGTTGTAATTCAAAGCGCGTCGGTGGTTGTAAAGCTTGTGATTTAGCATGATCAACAATCATCAGCATTGTATATAAGACAAAATAGTCGTTCTGTTGCATTTTTCTTTATATGAATATGTGCTTCTCTTACTTGTTTTTTCGAGTTGGAACGCAACAAGGTTGTGACAGACTACTATTCTCTTTACTCAAATTTCTTTCTTCAACAACTACTTCGTGAGTAATGGGCGCAAACGATGTTTGAACTAGTTCACTAAAAACTTCTTGAAATCTGCTGTTGTAATTTGTGCTAGTACTCTCGTTTGTTAAATGACGTATTTAAACAAAACTCGTCAAAAGAAAGTTGAAAAAAACAAACGCGACACACTTCACTTTGAACATCCAAAAATAAGGCTCAGCAACTGTTTCTAATAGAAAGTGAAGAAAGAACATTATTTTTCTTTAATCAGTACTAATTTGTGTTCAGATTTGTTATTGCATAGGAAGACAAAAATGAACCTCCGTTTGCGCTGATTAAAGAAAATTAATGTTGTTTCTTCACTTTCTATTAGAAACAGTTGCTGAGCCTTATTTTTGGATGTTCAAAGTGAAGTGTGTCGCGTTTGTTTTTTTCAACTTTCTTTTGACGAGTTTTGTTTAAATACGT